TACGCCTTTAGAGGGCGCCATCCAGAATATGCTTCTCTACCTTGTAGGTAATCAATATTACTTGACGGCTGAAAAACCTGGAGGTTTGTCGAAACGTCCCGCAGTGATTATTAGCTATATAATAACAACATATATTAATTAATGTACAATATTGTTGCCCTTTGGGTATGTGACGTCACACAAGCTGTCATCATCTAATTGTCTGTATTATTATTAGAAAATCATTTGCACAATGATTTACTCGTACTTGCCGAGTAAGCGGGTCATGATATTTAGGCGGGTAATGTAACAATATTTGTACAAGTGCTTCATATCAGAACGTTTGTATTGATGACGTTGCTGTGGCCTGGTAGTGCTTCTTCCTACCACCCACTGCATATACAAAACACGACGAGACGTTAGTATAAGCGACTCATCTGTTGTTGCTCAAATCGTAGGGGGCCAATAACGTGGCATAATGACCACGTGTTCCGACAAGTCATCGTGCGCGGTGGTGTACATTACCGGGGAGAAAATTTTCACTTATTTGGGTATTAAGTATTTATTGTAGTTTTGTTAAATTGGTTACATTTTCGTGTGTGTTAATAAGGCAGCAAATACTAAAGGATAATCTCGAGGAGAAATCAGCAGCATCTTGCCCACCATTTCGGACCTTGCCACCCCTATCAGTAATAATAGTCCGCTCTATAACTAAATAACTAAATTATCACGAACAGAAATTAGGTCTCGTTTCTTATTTTCCACAAGGAAGTTTTTAGTCGACCAGTGTGAACGTCTTGGTGGTAATCTCACATCGTTACGATAGATGGGGGAGGGGGGTCACAATAGCGACAGTCTCTCTCACATAGAAGGACTGTACAATAGTTCATGACACTTGTTTTTTCAATTGCTGACAATTGCACTGTTGTTTTCAACGCGTGCTCATTTCCAATTAGCGAGGGCATTGTCATCAATAAAGCAACCGTGGTTTGCATAGATGAACGTAGACGGACCTTTTCTTTGTACCAAGTCAACTTTCGTTGAGCTTGTGAACTCAATGTCTGAGTGTTGTAAAGTTTTATTAACGAATTGTGGGTGTAACCGTTCATCTTCGCGCCATTCATGGAAATCAGTGTTTTAAAGGGACGGACCGTCTTTTCTGTCAGCGCCTTTTTCTCAAATGTGCACGTATACATTTTCCATGATTATTTTCTATTTGTTGTCTCCATATATTTGTTTTCGTCTTAATGTAT